CAGGTTCCAGGGCCAGGCAACAACAGTGCCTGGACCCCTGAAGAACTCCCTGGAGGAAGTAGAATGGAGGGCGGGGATGGCGTCTCGGGGACCTGTGGACGTTGAGCCCAGAGAAGAAAACACCTGTCCTCAGTGTTGTCCTGTGAAGGAGGCAGGGCTGAGCAGGGCTGGGAGACTTTTAAATCTGAAGAACTTTGAGCACATGCAAGTTGTCCACCATTGAGGTGGACCATCTGGGTGCTGCTGAATTGCATGGCAGGCCACCCAGCCTCGCCCTAGGGATCTGTGTGTTGAGCAGTCTGCATTGAAGTATGAGGATCTCGTGTATTCAGGCACACTCTAGTTGCCTGGCACATTCCTAAATGGGGGCTCTCACTTGTTAAGTAGAAAATGAGTTTCAGAGAGGCTGAGACCTGTGGGTGGGGTGTGTCCACTGGAATGAGAAGGCTCCTGATGCCCAGGCAAGCAGCTGTGGGCCCAGTAGGACACCCTGTCACTGTGGGTGTCCTATCGCCATGGGGTATCATCTTACACCTGCGCCCAGGAGCCCGGTGACCATGGCCCTCACAGGTGCTTCCATTCTTACTCAGTACTTGCCCAGACTTCTCTCTCTCTGCAGGGCTGAGGAATGGGGGCTGCCTGTTGCCGTCCATAGACTTTCATTCAGAAACTGTTTGCGTGCCAGGGATGACCAGACCCATGAGCCATGTCCTAGAGGTCGGGCATCCCTCTGCAGGAGGGCTTTCTGTGAGCTGGCCTTACCTCTCTGGTGGAAGAACCATTTTCTTTATCTGCTAGAAAGACCTACCATATACCATTGGCTGTTAAAGGCCAGGACTTGATTTCCTCACTGTTCTCTAAGCCAGAAAGTCCAAGATCAGTAAGCCAGCAGATCTGGTGGCTGGTGAAGGTCCCCTTTCTGGCTCATAGATAGTACTTTCTTGGTGTAGTGCAGATAGATGGTGGAGGGGCAGAGGAGCTCCCAGGGACTCTCCTATAATGACTCATCCCATCCTGAGCTTGCCTTTATCCCCTAGCTGATGCCCAGAAGCCCACCCCCTAATATCAGGATTTCAGTAGAAATCTGAAGGGCCCCAAACATTCAGACCAGGACATCAAGTCTTAGATTTGGTGGGAGCGTTGGCAGCAGGCCTCTGGGAGGACACAGAGGAGGAGGCAGGAGGCAGCCAGCTGCAGGAAGGTCAGGGGAGGGAGCCTCTGGGCAGAGGTGGGCGTGTCTGCAGAGCTCCCAGGCAGGGAGCAGCAGCCTGGGGCTGGGGCCCTTCAGGGTGGGGGGAGTACAGGAGGCCAGGGGCAGGTCAGCTGGCATTCAGAATCCCGACCTCACCCACCAAGTCACCCCCACCCCCACAGGATTGCAAGGGCTGTGTGATTTCGTCAGACACCTCCCAGCCCTGGTGTGCCTGGAAGTGATGTAGGAAAGGGTAAAAATATACACACAGGAGATCACCATGGGGGAGCTGGTGGGTGGCTGGTGGGAAACGGGACTAGGTGGCACCCTGGAGTGGTGTCACCCAGGTCAGGCCAGAGTGCCAGGGCTCCCTGAGTACTTGCTGAGGGAGACTCTTTGCCCCGATCTCAGAAGTAAAACTACCAGCTCTGCCTGGAGTCAGAGATGGAAACCGTCTCTGGTTAATGGGATCTTTACAGCAGCTAAATCCTCTGCTAAACGCTTTATGTAACGGCCGCACCCGGGGTAGCTCCCCTCGCCATATGGCCGTGTAGCTTTCTTTCATTGTCATTAAAGAGAGTCAAACGTGTGCATGGGAAGGAGACAGAATCCTGCCTCATGACTGTCTTCACCGTCTTTCCTCCGCTGATTAAACTGCCGTCAGGGCAGCACAGGAGTCTTGGAGGAGGGCGTCTTCTCTGATATAATTATGCTGTTAGTGAAGATGTTGGCGGCTTTTCCCTGTAGCCACTAAAATAAAACTCTTGATCTCAGGACTCAGCAGCTGCTTGCAATCTGTCTCTCTTCCTGCTGATGGACTGTTGTCTCAGCTCGGCAATGGGTGGTGACGGGAGGGATGAAGGTGATTTTGGCCACCGTGCCATTGGTCATGGCCAACACCCCGGCTGCTGGAGCAGCTCCAGTTTGGGTCATCTTTGGGTTGTGCCCAGTGCACTGTTGCTAAGGAGAGGGCTTTGTTTGCGTGGAGCCTGGGGAATGTTCAAGGGAACTACACTTGGGCAAAGGTTCGATAATGGGGTGAAGCCAGAACTCATGGCTGGGTGTCAAAACGAGCAGTAACAGGTGGCGAGTTCTTCATCCCCGGGGGCCAAATTGGGCGATCTAAAGGGGCCTTGGTGGGAAAGAGCACCAGTGGGTAGGTTACTGTTGCTTCCTGGGTGGGGTCCAGATCTGGTTGTGGACGCCGCACTCGCCCTTCTGCAGGGAACAAAGGCTGGGCAGGAAGAGAGAGGGTGCTTCTGAGAACCCCTCTGGCCCAAGAAGTTGTGGTTTTGATGGAGGTAGCTCCCAGTGTCCCTTTCCCAGAAAGGAGGGCTGGGGTACCCTGCTACTGGACATAGGGCCTCCACCTAGCAGATAGCCCCTCCCAGACCCGCAAGAGCAGCCTGCAGAGCGCCTCCCTCTGAGTCAGACTCTTACTCATCAGTCACCTTTCCATGTGGCTGCCGAGGGCCTGAAATAGAAGGATGACTGGGCCAAGCTCCCCGGCGGCTCCTTTCCTGTGTTACTGGAGGTACCCTGCAGCGGTGGCCTTGGAGCTGTGGGCTGGTACATGTTCACAGCCTGTGGAGAAGAAATGCATTTAGAAGCAGCAGCCAGTGGGTCCTGGGTCCTGGGTCCTGGGTCCTGTTCAGGCAGCTTGGATTATCTTCCAGCCCTAGATGTGGGTGGTTAGGTTCATAGTCTCCAAATGTGGCATTTTTTTCCTCTTTTGCAGACAAGGAAACCATGTTGCAGGTTGCGTCCTTACCCAAGTCCCCGGATCAGGGAGCTTATGTACCATATGGTTGGTGGTCTGGTCACGGTGCATCCTCGACATGCCCAGTGCTGGGCATGCGGCTCCCTGACCTGGGGGTTTTCCTGTGGAGCCTGAGGGGTGGACCCCGAGTGTTCTCAGGAGTTGCTTCCCTACAACATAGTGGGAAGACTTGTTGGTTGCATTCAGAAGTAAAATCAAAAGACCTTTTTCCAAGCAATTGGCTCCGACTTCCAGCTTTGGAAAGTGTGTAGAGGACGTGGGCAGGCTCTGTTGGTCTTATGTTCGATTTCCATGTCAGACGTACACTTGGAACCCTAAGATAAATATTAACCTGGCTGTATTAAGTCCAGCAGGTGTTCAGCACTAGCTGGTGGGATGCATTGATGAGCTGGGGGTCCATACCCTGCTGGCCCTCCTAATAGTCTGGGGACACTGGCAAGAGGGGGTCCTCGGGCTGGCTTGGAGAATGGGGATCCCTGACTCTCTTGGTGCACTCTGGGAAGCACTTTCCTGTTGCTGTGGCTTTGGAGCTGAATTTTCTAAGAAGATGGTAATACCAAAGGCCCTTGGTCACGTGTCCTTGGACGACTGATCACAGTAGAGTGATCATGGGTAACAGCCTGCCTGCCGATGGATTGGTGTGCCCACCACAGGCTAGTCACTGGGAACAGTCAAAATTAGCTAAAAATAAATGTTACCTGAGGCTAGAGGCATGTTAAATTTTTATAAGGATTGATTAGAATGGAAAGTCGGGGTTAGTTAACAGAAGAACAAGGTTTTGGGGGGAAGCTACTGATAGTTCCCTGTCTTTTCCAGAGGGGTGAATCTAAACAGGACGTCAGTGAGCTGTCATGAACATGAGTTTGGGAGCCATGTGGTCATTCAGGCCTGTAACACATGCTGGCCAGGGAGGAGGGCAGTTGACCAGGCTTCAGCCATCCTGAGCCACCTGGGGAGACAGACTAAGCCTTGCCCAGTTTCTCTCCTTACTGGCCAGCTGATTCTGATCACATGGCTATGGTGGCGTGTCTGTTCTCTGCTGTAAGGCTCATGTTTTTCTCTTTCTCTTTGTAATTAACAAGCCTGGGGATCGAGCCCTGTGATCTTCACCCTCCCTCTGTTGAGCCTGATGATTGGTAGTGTGATCTGCTGGCGCCTTTGCTAAGCTGTTGGCATTCATCGTGATCCCTGCTTCCGAGCATGCTTATCCACAGCCCCGGCTTCCTCCTTCATCCCATTGTCATAGCCGGTCCTGCCATGGTTTATCTTGAAGCTCACTCGGGTTGCTTCTGAACTGGCCAGTGGGGCCTTTTGAGTGGGCCACATTTTTGTGTGTCTTTTTATCTTGTCTTTGACTTTTCTCTTCCCCAGAAACTGAGGAGGTGTTGCTGTTGTCCACCCTGCACAGGTCTTGGGTGTCTGGTCGTGGGATGCGAGAGGCAGTGGCCAGGGCTCCTCACTGGTGGGTGCAACATGTTCGGGGTTATGTGCTGTGAACCTGGGAGCGTCCTGCACTGGATTCAGAGGCTAGGACCATGGCTTCTCAAGCCTGGGGCCCTCCCTCTGTCGACCTTCAGGGCACAGTGTGAGGCCCCGTCTGGCCCTTCCAGATGGGCCGTGGCTAAAGTTCCCTTATTCAGTAATAATTTATGACTTCAGCTGCTGTGGGTATGGATGGATCTCTTTTGCCCCGTTTTTTTTTTTTTTTTTTTACTTTTTACTTTTCATGTGTGCATCTGGGGACCTTGTGACATCAGGGCATGAGTTCCCTTTAAGAAAGATCCAGAGGAGATCATGTTTCTATCGATGACATTCAAGATGGTACAGATGTCGGCTCCTCATGATGTGGGGAAGATGTTCTTAGGGCAACAGTGGTCAGTCCTCATCATTGCAGAATAGCAAGAGGACAGGGACTGGACTTGGGAGGAAGGTGACAACTCCTCCCGCCCTTCCACCTGCCCTGGGCCAGGTATTCCAGTGGGTGCTCTATGCTTGGTAAGAGTGACAGATGACAAAAGGAGATTCTTGGCTGGGGTGCAGATATGTTTATTTGCTCTGTAATCCAGGGACACAGGGCATATTTCTCTTTATAAGTTTTGACTTCTGTTCCCTTAAGTAGAGTTATATGGAAACCTGATTTATCTGCTCCAAAAAATATGGGCCCCTTAGTGAAGTTAAGCAGAGTATAAAATGCCTTCATGGTAGTTAAATTTACACTCTGTTAAAATGATTTGTGCGCTTTGCAGTAAGCTGTGATATTAATGCATAAATATAGAGCAGAGTTAACTTGGAGGAAGATTTTATTTGACAGGATCGCTGCAAATGCTCAGGTGCGGTATTGGAACCATTTAGCATGGTTACCAGTAATGGAGGGAGTGTGGCTTGACTTTAAAATTCTTCCTAAAATATTCAAAATCAAAAGGGGAGCCTGGAAGTAAGGCCCACTGCACGGAGTGCTTGGGGAGACCGCCTGTTGGTCTCCCTGTTCCAACTGCAAACAAAACGCCTTGTCAAGACGCTCAACATTGAAGTAGCCACTTTCTAATTTTGGAACCCATTCTATTCAAATTAGCAACCATGACAAATATTTTGGTCTCCTTTTGTCAATGAGAATACATTTTGCTCTGGGAATAGGCCATTTAGTCCGTATTGGGACATTTCAGGAAAGTTAATAATTAATGGCACGCTGGTGCACGATCCGCCCTGGTGTTTACAGCCAAGGCACTTGATTTAATTTTCTATATATAACAGCCTGTTTCAAAATGATCTTTTCTCGTTTCTTCATATCTTATTGAAATGGATCCACTGTTTGTATATCTCGGTCCCTGTAAAGAGAACCCGAGGGCATGGCATCCCTAAGACCACAGGTCTGGGGTTTAAGTCTGGAGGGAGGTCACCCAGGCAGATCAGTGCAGATGTCCTCGAGCATTCCCCCTCCACACTTCCCTGGGGCCCTGTGCTGCTGGTGAGTGTGGGCAGCCTCTGCTTCAGCGGCTGTGGACGGTTCTGCCTCCCAAGTCATCTGCTCACTGTGCGACAGGCAAGCCAGGGCCCTGCCCACAGAGCGGGTGATGTGTTTGTTGCTGGCTCCCAGAAGGTCCCTGTGGAGGCTGGAGAATCCTCAGCTCATCAAGGTCTAGAGCCTGGGCTGCTTTTCCCATGTTTTGGATTGATGGAGCACTGTGTCCATGTTCAGGAACAAGAAGACAGAGCAGGAGAAAGGAGCACTATCACTGGGGTAAGGGTCAGCTGAAGACGTTTGGGAGTCAACTGCCCCAAAGGTGGTCAGACCCCCTGCAGGCACCACCTGAGTTGTCCCTTGCCTGGGCTGTTATTCTCACAGCTGGACCTGCCTGGGACCTCCCAGCAGGTGGGAGCAGCACTTTGGCTAGGAACTTGGAACACTGTTCTGAGACTCACCAGCGCTCATTGAGAAAAGCCATGGCAGTACAAGAGTCTTGGTGGCTATAGGGCAGGTAGTTCTGAGTGAGGAGTGATGTTGAGGATGGGGTAGGTTGGGCTCAGCTGAATACGTGTACAATAACTGACACTAAGACCTTGTATCTAGTGGACTACAGACAAAACCAGTATTGGTAATATTTGGGACCTCTTGTCTCATAGAAAATAAATTCTGAAGTCTCCTGGATTGTTGATTTGGGTACCCAAGCCCGAGGCCTTCCATGAGGAGGGTTCTGCTTGGGGTCTTGGAGAAACTGGAGTGACAAGATCGGAACAAGTTTTCGCGAGATCTGCAGTCTTTTTTTCCTCTCTAAGATGAGGCATGAGGTGCTGGACATGGGGCAGAGGACATATGGCCTCAGAGTGACCACCCCTGCCCTTTGATCACCCGTCTAGGGATGTGACCTTGAACTCAAGGTCAGACTTGGCTCTTGAAGCCATAATCCAAGATAACTGTGATACCAAGTGCTAGGCTTGCGGGACAGACTCCAGCTGGTGGCCCTGTTAGGATGAAACACATGGAGGTGAGTTCGGGTGAAGAGGTGAAGGGCCATGGGCAGTGTGGAACACTGCGGGCTGAGCCTCTGCCGCGTCGCCCCCATAGCTCCTCGCCGTGATGTCACCAGCCAACCTGGGTTTCCGGTTTCCTGGTCACGTTCCTCTTTGTCTGCCACAGAGCCCACTTGGTGGAAGTCCCCAGCATTTCTAGAAGGTGCTATTGGATCCAGCTTAAATCTTTGTTCCCTTCAGAAAATTAAACACACCCATCAGTGTTGGCTGCCAGGGCAGGTGAAGGCGATGGGCCAAGCTGCCATCTGAGCCCAGGGAGCTTGGAGCTGGTCCTTGGCCCTTCCCCTGAGCCCGGGGCCCTTGGAGCTGGCCCTTCCTCCCTGTCTCCAGGTCTATCCATCATGCTCAGAATACAGACAGGGAACCACCACCTCCGCACCGTCCTCACGCCCCGCAGATGCCTCCCTGTCCTCACAGACTTCCGCCCGGGCCGTCCTCACTAACTCATGCTGGGAACGCAGGGAATGTGATCGCACCCTGCATCTCATTGCCCACGCCTCCATCATGGCTCCCCTTTCTGTGCATACACTTACATAGTTCCGCACAATCGCCAGCCTGTTTCCCACTACAATAGCTGGGTTTTGGTGGCAGCGGTGCCTGACACACATTTTATTTTTATTTAACTTACCCTTCGGGGTGAGTTCCTCTGTGTAAGGGCTTCGTGCCAAGTGAGAGCCGCGGTCTTTCTTTCCTCTCTAAAATGAGGCATGAGGTGCTGGACACGGGGCAGAGGCCTTGCCTCCCCACCCTCCCCTGCCACAGCCAGTCCACTACAGGAAGCGAGCGTTTAGATGACATCACTCGGGTTATTTGTTGCTGTAATTAATGTGTCAGCAGGAAGTAGCGAGGCAAGTGATTCTTGGCAGAAAGGACAATTTGAAGGGGGAGGAAGAAAAGAGGTTCAGGAGGACGGAGCGTTCTGGACACTCAGACTCTTAAGGGAGAGATCCGGAGGCCATGGATGGTCCCTGAGAAGTAAGCTACCTCTGGCCAGCATGGATCCGAAACCTTTAACCCCTGCTACAACTCAGTTGCTGCCCTGGGCTTTGCAAGGTCCTTTTGTGTCAAATGTGTGTGGTCCCAATGATGAGGGGATTAATGCATCCACGAGGGTGTAGCCTTATGGGCCCAATTTCCTCTCCTTGAGCCCTCTTCCCAACACCGTTGCATTGGGGATACAGTTTCCAGTGCACACATTGTGGGAGGCAGGTTCAAATCCTAGCACACTAAAACTGTAGAAACCTGTGACAGATTCAGGATACAGGTCTTGATTTGGATATTTGTATTGAGATCTCTTTTCCTGCCAGGTGTGGTGGTGATACCTGTGTGTCCCAGAGCTGAGACGGGAGGATCGTGAGTTCAAAGCCAGCCTCAGCAAAAGTGAGGCTGCTAAGCAACTCGGTGAAGCCCTGTCTCTAAATAAAATACAAACAAGGGCTGGGGATGTGGCTCAGTGGTCCAGCACCACTGAGTTTAATCCCTCAATCCCTGGTACCAAAAATATCTTTTCCTACTTTGCAATCACACTCTGTTGATGGAATCTTTTTGATGAGCAGAAGTTTTGTAAAGTCCCATATTGAATATTGTCAGTATTTTTATGGCTCGTTTGTCATCGTTGCCCACCCAGGATTCCAAAGACTCTCTCCAGTGTCTTCTTTTAGCAGTTTGATGGTTTCTCCTTCCGTGCTGGTCAGCTGCGCCTGGTGCTAAGTCCAGGTTCCTGCTCCTCTCCACTCTGCATGTGGCACCACTGTCAGGTGCGTAGGCTCTTAATTCTCCAGATGGCACCATCATAGCTGCTGCTCCTGGGGCCCCTGTATTGACAGGCTGGGGCAGACATCTCGGGTCAGAATTTGGAGTTGGGACAGGAGTCGGGCATCTAGCTGCGGTGTCGAGGCCTGCCCTGAGAAGGCCGCCATTTCTAGATGGACTGAGTAGGAGCAAGAAGAGGTGACAGCCCTGTCAACATCCCTCATGGCTGAGCACCTAAGGCTGATGGCTGCGGGCGATAGGGCTGGCTGGGTTGTCCAGTTGCAGGAGAGATTGACAAGTGGACTCTGTGCCTGAGGGCAGTCGGCCATTCCGGTTTGGGCAATACCAGCTGTGTGGCCTTGCCATCTCGCTTACGAGACCTCTCCCTCTAGTTAAACCCGTAGCTGTAGGGAAGGAACAGCTCCCGGAGCAGGTGCCAGGGTAGTTGGAGGTAGTACCAAGCATTCCTGGAAGAACAGGGAAAGGTACTGGAGCTGAGAGCAGAGTCAATGTTGCACATTTCACAGTGCGTCCTTAGGCCACCCCGACTTCAGTGTGGCCACTGGAGGACATCATTGCAGGCAAGGTTCCTGCCAGGAATGTGTGCAGGAAACCCCTGTCATCCAAGTCGTTCCACTGGGTGGAAGCCGGGATGGGCCATAAAATGTAGTATAATGCACAGACGGCCCCCAGCAGAGTTATCCAGCCCCAATGTCAGCAGTGCCCAGGGTGGCACTTGGCATGGTGCTAGTACATCCTCGGCATCCGGTGGTGTCTGAGGGATTTGAGGATTAGGGTCCAGGAATTCCACCTCTGGGCTGCAGTGGGCAAGAACGGAGCCTCCTCTTGTGGAGGTGAGATGACATCACACAGCCTCCAGCCCAGCTCCAGACACTGGCCACGGGGAGGATTCTGTCTTAGGTAACCACACAGCAGGAAGCCTCCGTGTTGGCCGTTACCTTCTAATGAATCTATAGTCTTTTGTTTTAGTTATTGATGGACCTTTATTTTATTTATTTATATGTGGTGCTGAGAATGGACCCCAGTGCTTCACACATGTGAGGCAAGTGCTCTACCACTGAGCTACAACTCCAGCCCTGATGAGCCCATATTCTAAGAGAATCTTTTGGTAAAACTTGACTGTCAGAGTCACAGTACCATGTGTACACCACTTTATGAACCAAGGCACTTGATTTGCTACCAAAAAGGGTTTGCTATGTCCTAATTGATTTCTAGTTCACTAATATGTCCATTTTATATTTAAAAACAGTTCAAAATTGTGTGGGTCCGCTGGAATTATCAAGTATTTTTGAGCCTCTGAATGTACATAACCAGCACTAAAATTAAGTGGATGGGGGGCTATGTAAGAATTTAGCACAGTGGCCCCTGCAATTGAGGCAGAGGAAGGCATCTTAGAGTGATTTATCTGGCTCAGTTCACATCTGAAGACTGGGATGAGCCCATGTGGCTCCGCCACGGCTCTGTTCCTTCCCTGACACTGTGTTCTTGGGCTCTGGAGGTGGAATCTCAGCTGTTTGCCATTCTGTCATCTCTCTATTTATTGCATCCAACAGTCTAAGTAATGACTTAAATAATGATTGCCAGAACTGTAATCAACCGTTTTGTTAATGATTTGGGACCTTGTAAAATGATTAGTCCTGAAGCACATATCCCGGGGAACACATCAAATCTCCAAGAGCAGCTTTTTTTTTTTTTTTGTACCTGAACTTTCAGGCCCTGCCCAGCCTGTGCCCCGTACCTGTTCTGTGTGTATCGCCAGGGTCAGCGCATCCATTTGGTAGCCTCCAGTGAATGGCATTGAGTTCCCTGCCCAGCAGCCACGAGGGACCCCAGGAACTGGCATCTGTCCTTCTCCCCGGTTGCCTTTCCTTGCAGGATAAATCTGGGCTAGAGGTGGGTTCCGTTCTGGCCATTCTGTGTCTGGTCAGGGAACCCCCTGGCCAGGCCGGAGGGTTGAAGTCACATGTCTGTCCAGGGCCCAGGCAGGCCCCCTCCAGCTTGGAGGAGGAGGTGGAGTCTTCCTGACCTTTGGTCTCCTGCCACACACCCTGCCTGCTGCCTGTGTGCAGCTGGCTGTTCTGGCCTGTCCTCCTCTGTGAAAATGGCCAGATTCTGCTTCCTGTCCTCGCACTGTTTTTGAACCTGTAGCACTTGGTGGCCATCTTTGCAAAGGTGTTGATCTGTTTGGGAAGTGTCAGGCTGCAGTGGGGTGCTTTTCTGGGTATCTGGGAAATTGATTTTGCTGATTCTTTTGTTACTGAAGGAAAAAATTATTGGGCCATTAACCGTGGCTTTAGAGATTTATCCTCTGTTGGTGGAGGTTTTTATTTTGCCATTATTTCAGTGGCCCTAGTGAGCCTGCTTTTCTAAATGGCTCTTGAAACCTGGCAACTAGTCCATTTTCTGGCTCCTTGGCTGGCTGTCGTGGCCATTTGCTCTGTTTTAATTTGAGTCTTGTAGGTTTTTACTGCCATCTTTTTGGTCCTAGCTCACTTTGGGTTGGGTTCCCCTCACCTGGTTCCAACGGTTGGGATGTGAGTCTTGTGCATGTTGAACTGATTTCCGGTTCTACTAGGGCTCAAGCTCACGACACACATGGCCAATTTGCTTGCGGGCTCTGCCCCTTCCTCGGCTGTCAGCTCACACCAGTGTTGTGAGTTTTGTCTTCTGGTTTCTCTATCCTGCCCCCTGTCCTTGTGAGCCCCTCCTCCTATGCCCAGAGCTGTCTGTCATCTTCCACAGGCTCCTGTGTTTGACGCCTCCCCTCAAATTTCCTTTCCACTCCTAGGATGCCCCAACCGTTGCTGCCAGGTGAGTGGGGCACCAACGGCCGGGGCATTGCTGGTCCTGCCTAGGATACAGATGCATCTGGATGTGGAGGGAATGCACAGTGGAGAGCTGAGCAAGTCTGCTCAGAAGTGGGGGAGGGGAGGGCTTCCTGCACACTGGGGCTTTCCTCTTGCCCTGAATGTAACTGGAGGGGGCATGGGTAAGTTTTTCTTTGATTAGAAGCATTTTAGCTGGATTTGGTATGCACATCTGTCATTCCAGCAGCTCAGGAGGCTGAGGCAGGAGGATTGCAAGTTCAAAGCCAGCCTCAGCCATTTAGCAAAGCCCTCAGCAACTTAGCAAGATACTGACTCAAAATAAAAAAGGGCTGGGGATGTGGCTCAGTGATAAAGTGCTCCTAGTACCAAAAATAAAAATAATAATAATTTTAATATAACTTGTATTACAGCAATTTTAAATTTACAGGAAAAAAATTTAATAATTTTCATATGCTGCCCACCTAGTGTTCCCTACTGACCTCTTACATTGGTACGATGTGTTTGTTACAGCCAGTAAAACAATGTTGAAGTATTGTTATTAGCTGATGTTTATTACTCGTAGGGGAAAACTTCTATATGATTTTTTTGTTTTTTTATGGTGAGGAAAAGGAAATAATTTTACATCTTTGGTTTCTTTTCCACTTCCTCTGGGAATTTTTTAGTGAAGGGGGTGAATCCATAAAGTACTCTGTATGAAATGGGGGGGGGAAGTCAGCCAAAGTGACGGGGTCCTGCCTCGGGGATTTAACATGAGAGCTAAGGTTGTGTAAGTGGAATCTTTGAACAAGTCGTGTTTTTTGTTAAATTCAGCATTGGGGTATTTTATGGATTGGATCCATCCCCATTCTGACTTGGGGACTTAAAAGCTCAGGAAATGACCGTCCACTTTGTTTGCAGGGTCAGTGTTGTCATCAGAAGGGCCCGTGGCTGTTGTGGGTGGGCCAGGGGTTTGCGCAAGCAGGCCAGGGGACCTGGAGCCCTGTCCACAGGAAAGTCTGGAAGTGAGCAGCCCCGAGGCTGTCTGGGGAGGATGGGGGCACCTGCTCCGCCCCAAGCCCTGCCCTGGCGCCATTCCTTCCTGTGCCTTATCTCTTTGCCTCCACTGGGACCTGGAGGATCAGAAATAAAGCTGCCTTGTGTGAGGTC